TCAGGGACCCCAAGGAAGACAGAGCTGAGTCACTCTCCTCTTCTTCATACAAAGGCCGGGACTGAGGGCTCTGGCCTCGGGTTCCCCGGCTCCATCTCTGAGGCTCTGAGACATAGAGCCCCTCTCAACTTGGGCCTGTGAGCATGTGCATGGGAGTGTGCATGTGAATGTGTGTGTGAGGGCACCCATCCATGTGTTTGAATGTGCGTGTGTGTGCGAGTGTGAACCTGAGCATGTGGGTGTGTGCATGGGAGTGTGTATGGTGCACATGCGGGCAGGGAATCTGGAGACTGGAGCTTCCAGGTCCGATGGTGGCCACAACCGGCCGAGGGTGGTGATAAGCTGGCCTCTTCTTGCTCTGCTGGCATGCACTCAGTCCCAGAGCTAGGCACTGCCATGGGTGGCACAGTGACAATGTGCATGAGAAAACCCCATCCCTCCTTCTTGGGGTCACGTTCCGGTGAGGAGAGACAGGAATACACAATAAACTCACAACACGATGTCAAAGAACAATGTGGGATGAGAAGACAATGGAATGGGGGCTGCGGTGGGCACCCTGTCCTTTTCTTCCTCCTCCTCTTCTCTGATTTTGGGAGCACAGCAGGGAATGCAAAGTGAGGTGTGAGAGCAAGGAGGTGATGAAGCGCTTAGGTGTGGTGGGTGAGGGCTGTGTGGAGACCCAGATGCTGACACTTCCTGGCCTTGTCAGCTTGTCCCCCGAGACGCTCCCCTGGGATGAAGGACAGGAGGCCCAGGCCTTGGCCCTGAGGTCTGGCGGCCCTCGCTCCCACCAGGCAGGGCTGCCATTCTGCGCTCGTCCGGAAGCCAAAGTCATCCCCACTCTTCCATTTCCGATTCTGGTAGTTTGCTGCTGGAGAGAAAAATAAAGAAGAAAAATGGGGGAAATTCCCATTTCAATTTTTTGGTCAAAGCACAAGTTTCTCTCCTTCCTTTCTTCTCTTCCTCCTTCCCTCCCTCTTTTTTTCTTTTATTTTCTTTTTCCCTCCCAAGAGTAGAAAGAACCAGGGAATATAAACAAAAAGGCACTTAGAATGAATCAGGCCGTCTTGTTCCGAAACCCCAGGAAACCCCTAGAAGCTGGGATCTGAGCAAAGGGACATAGCTGCAAGGCCAGCGGGGGCGGGAACTGGGCTGAGTCAGGGATGGTCTATGGGCTCTGCGGAGCCCCTGAAACAGCTGCCTCTTGGGGTCAGATGTGCTACCAGAAGGAAGGTCCAAAAGAGGCCAGAGGGGAGGGCTGAGGCCGCCTGGAGCGTGACAGTGCTCACTGCATTCCTGCCAGGGTGAGTCACTGCCAGGACACCCTGCCGTGCAGATTTGCAGCAACAGCCTTGGTGTCCTAAGACTCTTGCCTCACCTGATAGGCCTCTCCAACCCACGAAGAGCTCTCTCCTTTGCACATTGATGCCTGAAGGACCATCATAATCACTCAGCCCATTGATGGCTTGGTTTTCTTCCAAAATGCAGCCCCCGGCAAGGAAAAAGCCCCAGCCATATCAGTCATTTACTCTTTGATGTAAATGAGTCATCCGGCCCTTTTCCAGTGGAAGGTTTTGATGAGAAGAGAAAGAGCATGAGGACACCGGGTTTCACAGAGCAAGGGTCTCACTTTCATGGAGGTTAGAGGTGGCATGATGGGGAAGACCCAGAAAAGGCAGAGGAGACACTGGACACAGCATCCTCAGACTCAGGGTGGGCCATCACCTCCCTGAATGAAACCAAAGCTTTGCAAGGCCAACACAAACCAGAGCTCAGCGAGTTTATTTTCTCATGAAGAGTGAATTCTGTGAAAGACAGAGCTAAGGCTTATCGAGCACTGACTAAGTTCCAGGTACCTCCCAAGTGCTGTTCCTACAGTAAAGGAATTCTCACGGCACCCAGAGAGAGAATGGACACTCAGAACCTGCTGGAGCAAGAGGAGCTTGCCTTTCACACCACACTCCGCAGCCTCCGGGACCAGGTTGTTTGCAGCACAGGTGGGCTGATTCCTGGGCCTTATGACCCTGCAAGGCTGGAGGTTGTAGGGCTTAAAGATGGGAAATGACTTGACCAAGATCACACAGAAAAATACCACGTGGGCACACTATAGCCTTGCCGCTGCCCAGATTGGTACAGCAAGCGTGCCCTTGTCTGGGTCACCAATCACCTGCTATTGAATGAATGAACAAACCAACGGACAGAGGAATGGGAATCAAGGCTCAGGGAGGCTCCATGCCTCACCCGAGGGCATGTGTTTGGGATTCTCAGGGCAAGTCCGCTCAGAACCAGCTGTCCCAGTCCCACCCAGCCTCTATGCTTGACTTCTTCTCTTAGCAATTCTCCTATTTTGTCACATTTGAGTTCAGAGCCTCCAGAGTGACATGGGGCCCTGACTTCCTGTTCCTGATGGGCAGGAAAGGTCATGCAGCTCATTAGTCGTGGTGAGGTTGATACTGTGTCCCCATCTCTAGCCAATCATGCCAAACAGTGGTTGGTCTCTGTGCCCCCGTCCCCACCATTCCTGGACTATGAAATCAAAGGGGTTTTCTTGACCCTAAAGGACAGCCAAGCCCGATTCAGGAAGAAGGGCTTGGACAGCCACCCGTTTCTCCATGCTGTGCCTCTCTTTCTGAGCAGCATTTTCCAAGCACCCAGGCCTTCAGACTTCAAGGTCACCTCATTTAGGTTCATGGGTTCAAAGGGCCTGTTGAGCTCGAAGGAGAAAGCAGAGAGTTTTCCAGGAAAGTGGTGCTGGTGAGAAGATCTCTTCCCATACTTGTGGCTCATCATCAGTGAGTTGGATGCCCAGAGACACTTCCTCTCCGGGGTGTCGGTGCCTCCCTGCTTCCTGAGCTATGGTAGCTCAGAGGTGCAAAGCAAGGGTTTCCAGCCTAGAGAGAGCAACCCTGCACCTTTGCCAGCCATAGCCCATAGCTGCTTATTCTGTATCCCCACACTGCAATCAACAAGCACTCCCTGGGCACCTATTGCATGTCAGGCCCTGTGCTGGGCCGAAGTCCAGAGATGGGTGAGGCACTAGACTGCTCTGGGTCAGTCTTAGGTTCCCAGCCAGCCTGTCAGCATGTCCTCCTGATAGCAGGGACCATCTTCCATTTCTCCTAGCATCATGCACTGGGGTGGGACTGGCCTCATGGGGGAGGCCAGTACAGGAGGATGATGGGTTCGATTGCATTCATCTCCACTGTTGAAGGGATTTCTTTCAGACATCTTGAGTTCTTCTAGCCTAAAGCCTGGAGGTTTTTTTTTTAAATTATGGAAGTGTACAGGGAAGAGGTCTTGGAAGGAGCATGGGGTCTTGGAAGGAAGAGACCAGAGAAAGAGCTTTCTCATTAGAGGCACGGCAGAGAGTTAGGAGGGCAGGCTGTGGAGTCCGACAGCCTGGTCTGAAACCCTGGCTTCCCATCAAGTTGCGTGGCTATAAGTGAGTTACTGAGCCCTGCTGAGACTCAGTCTCCTCATCTGTAAAATGAGGACAAGAAGAATACCTCCCTCATAGAATTGCTGTGAGTCTGAACAGAGCTAACATGTGTAAGGGCTTAGTTCAGTACCTGGCACATATTGAGGGCTGGATAAATAAGAGCTATTGTTTTCCCATCAGAATGGAGGAAATATTCCAGTCCCAATACTACCACTGGATATCAGGCCTGGAGGCACTCTCTAAAACAGTTATTCCATTATGGCCATTTTACCAAATGGAAGACTGACGCCCAGATATGGAAAGCAGCCTGCCAAAGGTCACATGGGTTGCTAATAAAATGCAGCATTAGTGTCAAAAATCCAGGTCTGCTGACTCCCCAGCTGGTGCCTTTTTCACTCTCTTTTGCCCAGAGTTTCTGGTAGAGTGGACTCAAAAAACCGCTTAAATACACATCCCAGGCCCACCTCTTCTCCAGCTCCCAACACAGTGGGGCGATTGATGGGCTGCCCCTCAGTAAGAGTCTCAGAAGCTAATTCCACTCTGAGCCAAGGAAGTCCGGAGCGTGCAGAGGTGTCTCTCCAGGCCCTAGAGCTGGGAGTGACATCAGCGAGGCACAAACATCAAGGAGCAGCAGCTTCCTGCTGGAGCCCTAGTCCCCTCCTTTCCCAGCCTCTCTCTGGTCCATCCCCATGGCTGTCTGTGACTGGGCTCCTGGGAGATGAGGGGAAGCCAGATGTTAATAGTGACAGGTGAGGCGTTCATTGTGCCTCCGGCATCTGAGCACAAGCTTCCCTCCCAAGATGAGACTGCGGAAGCTGGCCAGCAGCCTGGGCTCTGGGCTGGGGGTTCCATCACGGGGCATCTGGCACCTGAGGGAAATGTGGGTACTGACAAAACATCCCCTCTTGCATCTGGAGTCTTGTCTCTGGCCGAACCTTCTTCCTGCTCCTTCTCCCTTGCCACCACCTAACATTTGTCAAAATTCCAGCTTGATGACATGTGCCTCGCACGTGTGGCCAAGGAGGAAGCAGAGGGAGACATGGTTATCATCAGCCTGGCCCATAGGAAGTGGAGGGTCAGCTTACTGTTTTGAGGCGCCACTAACCCTGAGTGCTGTGGTAGGCTTTGCCACAATCCCCCTTGTGGCCTGGGGCAAGTCAAAGCTCCACTCTGGGACTGTCTCTGCAGCCAGTGTTCCTTTAGAAGCTCTTCCAGGGCCAATACGCTAGTATTCTTTAATGATGCCTGCCAGGAAGCCTCAACTGATAGCCAAATACGAAGCCCTCAACCCATGCTGCGCACCTACTAACTGCTTTACCCTGGTCTTCTGGCAGGATAGGTGTATCTGCTTGCTAGTGCCTCTATAATGCTGCATGATAAAGGATCCCAAACTCAGTGGCTTAACACAGCAGTCCGTTATTCTCAAGGAGGTTGGCTGTGGATCAGCTGATCCAGGCTGGGTTTGGCAAAGGGGCTATGCCTCAGGCTGCTTCTCATTGCAGGTCTCTGGATCAGCCAGGGATCTTCTGCTCCCAGGGACACTGTGTCTCTCATCCTGCCAGGACAAAGAGGTAGCTAGGACATGCTCCTCTCATGGCAGCTACAGAAGCAGAAGAGGAGAGCAGGCACACAGGGAGCCTCCCAAGGAGCCAGTAAATTTTCCCTTCTGCCCAGAGTCAAAAAGCAGAGACACAGGCTCCACCACGATGCCATGGCAATGCCTGGCTGGTGACGCCAATGAAGATCGGTGCCCATCATCCAATCTACTGCATGAAAATGATTCAGCCTCTTTGATATGGAAGTTAGATTGTCCTTTCCTTTTCACTTTGTTGCACTGGAAGAGATGTAATACCCACTCCCTCATTTGAGGATTCAAGAGTTGAGTATTAGGCCCTCCCTATCAACAAGCAAAAGAAACAGTTTTTCAGTTTCTAGGAAGCTCATCAGGAGAAAGAAGTGAAGAGAGGATTTAAGATAGGGTTTAAGATAGGGAGGGATTTCCCCAGAGTCTAAGGTTGGAGGCTGGGGAAAGTTTGGAACCCAAGGGTGGGAAGGTTGGCCAAGAAGAGTCAAATGAGCTGACTTGGCAGGAGGCCGCATTGAGAAATGACATATGGGGGTCCAGGAGCCACATGGGCTCTGAGACACCACCTGACAACCTAAGAGCAAAAAACTCCTGTCATTCTGGCACAGGCCAACAATGGTTGACCCATGACTTTGCTTGAGTCCCTTATGAACAGAAGTCCAGAGAGAAACAACCCCTCAGGCATCTTTTCCAGTGCAACTGGGCTTTGCTGAGCTCATGGCTGATGAAAAATCCCATCACCTACCCACTTAGGTGCCCAGGAGCAGGTCTGCCTCAACACCAGTAGGGTCTAGGATACGTGTACAAATGGTGTCCTACAGGCCATATGCTAGAAGTTTTCACCTCACCATCTGATTCAAGCTGGGAAACATCTTTCCCAAGAGACCTCCCAGTCTCCCACCTACAGGGGCAATCCAAGAAGGCTAAGGCACAACCTTTGCGTGCTCAGAGTCCTCCACCTAGATGGGAAACCTAGCCGATGCTCAGGAGGCGTCAAAATGCCACATCAGAAGAAATGTCTCATTAGAGCAACCAAAAACCTTCACAAGGCATAAGTGATCACCAGGGCATTGCCGGAAGCATCGGAATGTGAGGATGGAGAAACGGCTGTGCATGGAGCACCTTTGGGTTATTCGTTCAACACCCACTGCAGGCCATGCTCTGTAACAGTACCCAGAGCCCATGCTGGTTGAGATGTGGTTTCTGCTTCCGAGATATTCACCATCGTAAAAGAGAGATCCAGAGAGTCTTCATGAGAGAGAAGGGATTTCATCTACATTTGAAAGAACAGAAAAACTTCGGGTAGACAGAGGGGGAGGTGGATGCTTTCCAGGCAGAAGAAAGCAATCCCTGGAAGGAGAGAGGGACTTCCTTCTACAGGAAATTTGGCTTGCAAGAGTTCCACAGGAAAGGGTGATGGGTGGTTAAAAACAGTGCCCCTGTGATGGTGAAATTTTGATAAGTATGGCAACTGGGTGAGAAGGGCCTATCGGACACCAGCCACGCCCTGCCCACATCCATAGTCACCCCCTCGCGGAGGTTCCAGTCCCTGCTGATGGTCATGGCCTGGACACGTGTTTCAGAGGTTTCTCAGGTCCATGTCATGCTCTTTCCACATTTTTTCCTCCTACAGCCAGTTCCTGCTTCTGGAAATCCAATCCCCCTTCTGAGAGAAGTGCTATGGAAACCTCACCACAAATACACTCCCTTCCCTGATGGTACTAATTGAAGGAAAGGGCTGGTGGAAAAATGATTTTGTGGAAACACAGTTTTTATTATTTTTAAGTTAATCCACTTATTTGAGTGAATAACTACGAAGCACTCCACAGCAATGGTCTGTAGGGGACCTGCTATAGAGATTTATTGAGGATTCATTCAGTCGTTAAACATTTTACTGGGTAGCCACCATGAGCCAGAGGCTGGGGGTATAAGGTTAAGTCAATCTCAGTGTCTGCCTTTAAGGAGCTCAGTCTGAGGGGGAGATAGACACATTCCCATGAGTATCAAGCAGAGTGGTCACTGTAGCAAGAGCCCTATGCGTGGAGTATTACCAGAGCACAGAAGAGGGGAACTGAACAAGGTTGGAGGGTGAGGTCATCAGGGATGGCTTCCAGGAGGAGGAAAAGGGGAGAGCTCATACTTTTGGAGGAATAATAGATGCTTGCCGGAGGAAAGCTGGGGGGTAAGATGGAGCCAGCAGAGAGGTAAGTTGTGTAACAGTCACAACATGCAGAAAGACCCAAAGGGGAGAAAAAGCGGGATGAATCAAAAAAACACTCCCAAATCGGAGCTGCTGGGATGTAATGTGAAGATGGGTAGTGGCAGATGCTGGGTCTGGAGTGGTCAGCAGAAGCCAGATCCTGGAGGTCTGTAAGCCTTGGAAAGAGTTTGGACTTCATCATGTAAACATGAAAGGTTCAAAGCAGGAAAGAGATGTAGATAATTTTGTGTTTTAAAAAGGGCTCTGGTGTGGATGCGGCATGCAGGATGCGTGGAAGCTGGGGGATCGGCTGGGAGTAGGAGAGAAACGTCCGGAGTCTGTCCTAGGGAAGTGGTCAGGGGAATGGAGAGAAGGGGATGCATTTGAGAAATGCTTAGGGATCTAAGATAGTAGGACTTGGTGGTTTTCAGATACAAGGAGAGGAGAGAGGGAGGATTTTAGGGTAACAGCCAGACTCACAGCGTGAGTTATAAAGCGGAAGGTGCTACCCTTGACTGAGATGAACTCTGGGTGAAGGAAGTTTAGGAGGGGAAAAATAGGATCCATTTTGGATGTTGAGTTGGAGGAAGCTGTGGGTGGGAATTCCAGTGGCAATGCCAGCCACCAGGTGGATATCTGGACTTGCCCCGATGGAGGAAGATACAGGCTGGAGTCAAGACCTGAGAGGCACGAGCTTTTGGAACCACAGAACGGGATGGTCCCCGCTATGTGTTCATCAAGGTGATGTAGGCTGCAAGGAACAGAACACATTCAAAGGTTGCTTAAACAATAAGAGCATTTATTTATTTATTTTCAACCATTTGGAAGTAGCTTCTTCATCATTTCAATATGATATTGGAGACCCAGAGCTTTACCTATTTCAGCTCTGCCATCTCAGTTCATCTATAAGTGCATACCTTGTGATAACATAGAAGGCAGATGAGGTACCCGAAGGATGTGTAGTCCCAGAGGAAGAGGCTAGAAAACAATTTGTTCACAGATGAAATGTCTGTCTGGCTGTGTTTAGCAGGACACAAGAAAGAAAAAGGCTTAGGCTGGGCGTGGTAGCTCACGCCTGTAATCCCAACACTTTGGGAGGCCAAGGCAGGCGGATCATGAGGTCAGGAGTTCAAGACAAGCCTGGCCAACGTGGAGAAACCCTGTCTCCACTAAAAACACAAAAATTAGCCAGGCGTGGTGGCAGGCGCCTGTAACCCCAGCTACTCAGGAGGCTGAGATGGAGAATAGCTTAAACCTGGGAGGCAGAGGTTGCAGTGAGCTGAGATTGTGCCACTGCACTCCAGCCCGGGCAACAGAACGAGACTCCATCTGAAAAAAAAAAGGCTCAGAAAAGAATTGGCTGGTTAAGAAGCAGAATTGAAAAGGGAATTAAATGTCTACTAGTTAGTGTTTATGGGGTTGGAAGAGGCAACAGCTTTTTAACTTTAAGGCTGATTTAGACTTACCCTGTGAGGACTTCTGCTGTGGACAGTGATAGAATAACAGATACTGGGACTAGCCGTCACCTACCATAAACAAGTAGAACACTGGATAAAATATATGAAACAGCTGTTTTCAGACATTGACTAACCCTCAGAATGGGACTGTGTTCCCTGAGAGAAAGTAAACAAATAAGATGAACTCCGTGATCAACCTGACTTTTTGCCTAGAGGCATTTAGCAGACCAAGGCTCTGGGATGAGCAAAGAGAGCAGAGCACAGGAGCCTCAGTGTTTTGAGGAAACAGAGATCACAATACCAAGAATTGTGCAGCTGGAATTTGCAGAGCGGAATCCTGAAGAGATGTATGTAGAGAAAGAGCTTCAGAAACTGAACGGGAGGAACTTTGAGTCTTTGGCTAAAAACTAGGTGTGCACGGGTAGGATGAGATTCCAGGAGGTTGGACAAAGAACAAATATTGCAGAAAGAGTACCTATTTGGGAGTTATAAGCTGAACAATGTTCTGTGCTCAGAGTTGGGAGATGTTCCAGTTCAGGCCAACCAAAGTGGAGAGACTTCATTGAGCCCTCAGAGTATTTAGTGGAAAACTCAGAAAGGCTGCATTTCAGGAGTGGAGCTAAACTAACAAGCCTCCAACCTAGAATGAAGGCTGTTCTAGACCCATCCTAAGTTTAAAGGCAAGTCTTGAAAGGACCAAGCCAATCTTCAAATAAATTGCTGCAATAAAATTCAACACTCTTTAAAGAAAGATAACAGGCTGGGCAAGATGGCTCATGCCTGTAATCACAGCACTTTGGGAGGCTGAGGTGGGCAGATCACCTGAGGTCAGGAGTTCAAGATCAGCCTGGTCAACATGGCAAAACCGCGTCTCTACTGAAAATATAAAAATTAGCTGGGCATGGTGGCACACACCTGGAATCCCAGCCACTTGGGAGGCTGGGGCAGGAGAATTGCTTAAACCTGGGAGGTGGAGGTTGCAGTGAGCCAAGATCATGCCACTGCACTCCAGCTTGGGCAACAGAGCAAGACCCTCTCTCAAAAAAATATATCTTTGAAAAAAATAATGGCCAAACATTTCCCAAATTTGATGCAAATTATAAACCCATAGATTCAAGACACTCAATGAATTCCAGGTGGGATAAACACAAAACTATATTAAGGTACATCAAATCAAAATGTTGAAGACAAATGATGAAGCAGAAAACTTGAAATACAGCCAGAGAAAAATCAGCCTGGTGGTAAGGATCAAATTGATGGTATCATTGTCATATCCATTACTGAAAATTCTGAACGGACTAAGAGATTAATCTTTTGTATTAGACATGTGGACTCAGACAAAGAGACTAGAGGAAATGTGCCTACACCTAAGTCTGATAGGTTTAAGTTACTTACTATAAAGTGCCCCAA